ACGCTCTCTTTTTCTGTCTGAAAAAAGCCAGTCGACTGCTGTTTCTGTTTATCACCTTGACTGACTGTTGCTGCAGATGCAAATGACACGAGTCTTTTTGTGCTTAGAGTGCTTAAAATGCAAATGTCATCTTCAGGATTCACGTTTAGGCTTTGTTCAGAGCACTAGTGGTAACATATATGGAAGCGCTAAATATAAGAGAATTTAAATTCCTAGAATATTTTACAAATTCATAAACTTTTACATTAAATAAAGGTCACAGCCCAGTCCCAATACTTTCATACATCTTAGAAGCACAATGAAAGTAGATTATATTATTATTACAGTTTTTCTCAGTGGATTTTGTGCATTTCTCACAACACTATTTACATTTGCACAACAGTTAATGCATTTCTCAAAACAATTAGCACAAACTGCAATACCTAGTTGATAACCTGCAAAAGCATGCCACTTGCTCAAAATGGAGAGCTCATTCCTCAAAAGCAAGTATTAATGTCAATGAAAGTGTCAGTTTCATCAAGATGAAAAGTCCTGACACCATTGTTTATGAACAGGATAGTCAAATGGCTTTGTCATGTTTTCATCATGACAGTTTACTCAGTACGTTTTCCAATGCAAAAAAAAAAGAAAGAAAAAAAAAAGATTTTGGTGACGCTTCCTGAAAATGCTCAAGACAGCACTATGTACTATTTGCACAGCCATTTGAAAACTACAGTAAAGTTCGACATCACTGCATTTAATGAGGTATCTGAGTGCAAGACACTGAATATGTATGTTTCACGTTTTGACTGCATTTGCTTTTTGCAATTCTAATTTATCCACAGTATTGTGCAAAATAATACACCCTTATTTACAGTACAACAAACATAAACTCCCTTTGGGTAGAGCTGTGCACAACTGTAAACAATAGTGCAGTACATACTGGAACTTATCCTACAACATACACATGTCTGTAATATCTTATAAATACACAATATCTTAAATCATAAAAGACCATATTTGTACTTTAAATGTTAGAAGAAACACCCTTTATAATAAGACAAATATTAACATTTACCCATAAATCTAACCCTATTAAACCCACTTTAAGTATTTTTATTTTCATTTTTCCCGGCATTGACGTAAATATTTAGTTGATAAATATAGATGAATCTTTTAGCTCACCAAAGTTATTTTTGTCTTCATTTTTGCAACAGCGTCCTCGTGTGGTTGATACTTTAACCAAACATTTTCAAAAGTTTTTCTTTTACAGTGCATGTTGACGCAACAAGTCTCTGTGTATTTCACAAAGTAAACGATCCTTCGTTTTAAATAAGATGAAATTACTTTACTAACTGAAGATTTCCACGTTGAAATAGTGGATTTTATGACTGTCCCGCGCTAATGCCATATAAGTCTCTGTTTGATAGAAGTCCGCTAAACGGCGCTGACGTCAGAGGAAGAGAGTAGTCATTTCTGGTCTGGATTCTAGCATATCCACTCTGAACAGTGATAGTGGGTAACCCCCACAAGATGGCGCAAGAACAACTTTTTGTTTATATCTTATTTAGAAAATATAATTAGAAAAAAAGTAAAGACAAAAGAAAGTTTAGAGAACAAAACTGAACAGGGGCTTAAAACACAGATAAATAAGAATTCAGTAAAATTACAATAACAGAAACAAAAAAGAAATCACCTATTATTAGTATTATATTTTTCAAATTGATTAAAGGTCTTTATAGCTTTACACTTTTTTACTTTTAATGGACTCTAAATATTTATTTATAAGTACACACAGGTAAAAATGGCTAATTGTTGGCATATATGCATGTGTCTTTTTTGTCTTTTTTCTTATTTGTCTTTATCTTGTTGTGTTTGCCTTAGAATTCTTTGCCCTCTTCTGTCATTATCAATGTAGTATTATTAATTTACATATTAACATAATGGTAAATTAACATGCTTCATAATGCGCTTTGTAAGTGGGGGAACAAAAGTTAAATAAATAAATAAATAAATCAGATGCTCACCAGTTTCAGTCTGAATAGTATATGATACCAAATAAAATATTTTCAAAATAATTGTTAAATAATACGCCATTGTACATTATATTATGGATATACATACACATCAATTCATGTAGGTTTTAAAGAAGACTTTTAGGGTATAATCACTGATCTATATAGAATGACTACTATTGATCAGTGGTATAAATATTTACATATGTAGATATAATAATATACTGTGTATATATATATATATATCTATAGATCAGTGGTAGTAATATTACAAAGTTCACAAACGTTCTGTTATTATATCATAGACAAACGTATTATATTATATTATATTATATTATATTAATTATATTATATTATATTATATTATATTATATTATATTATATTATATTATATTATATTATATTATGAAAATCTTTCTAAAGAAGTTTGAAAGTTCTGCATACTTGGGGGCGTGGTGCTTATTTGTATAACCAATCAGAAGCCCAGCCGAGCAGCATGTGACCCACCTCGGAAGCTCAAGCAGAGTGGACTGCGTTCTTTAGGAAAACATCTTTGTCTCCGAGAGAGAAGGGGAAAAAGTGGAAAAGCAACAGATCGGAGGGGCGTCTTATGTTGTCGAAAAACATCTGAGTCGTCTTTCAGGATTAGCCGTGCTGAAGGGGATGCTGGGGGTGTCAGAGATGACGGGCAGGTACGTCATTTTTATATCATTTCTGATAAAAAAAAAAATGTAATATGTTCTGGCTAGTTTCCAGTCAGAGATGCAACAGTCTTTCCCTTACTTTTTTCCGTTGCTTTGTTGTTTCTGGTCTCTTTCTTTTTTCCATCTTCTTTTTTTGTTTATAGTTAAACTGATGGCGTTGGATGTGTGTTCATTATTGAGAGATTAACTGCAGAATTTCATGAATTGCTAGATGAGGGCGGATGCTAAGCTAGTTAGCCACCCTAGTGGAGTTTTCCTGGGACACACGCAAAGCTGGAGAGATATTCAAAACACCATAAGTGTTAAGATAAACCCTGTCATGCTGTAGCTAACTGTCTATAACATGTGACCCAATAAGTATTAGTTATTTGTAATGCAGTTAATGCAAGTGCATTTCTGAAAAAAAAGGCTACATTATGGGTATGTTAAATACTAAAAAGCATTTGATTTGGTTAGAAACCGAAGTATGAGGTGACGTGAAAACAAATGGTTGATCAATTTAGGCAGAAGTGACAATCTGCTATCTTTGAATGTTATATCAGGTTTAGATTGATTCTAACACCTAAAAACTGTAATCATCAAACAAATGAAAACAAATGAAATCTTTACATGAACTCTCAGAGGTTTCATGTTTGTCTGTTTGGCATTTTGTTTGTTGTTGGACCAAATGAGCAAATTCCCAAACATTCCTGAGCTGGACTCTCCCACAGTCTGATCCTCAGGGAAAACATGGATATAATCTACTTCCTGAGATATGCAGCTTCTGTAAACTGACATTTATCATGCCTATACAGGGATGATCAAGATTAAATCAGGAATTTTTTTATTCTGCTGAAACATGTAGAACCTGAAGACATCAACGCAGCGAAAAGCAGCGATGAAAGGGACCTCGCACTCTAGGTTTTTGAAAGATATCATTCATTGCTAGAGCTTTCAGATAACACTACACATTTGGTGCTGATACGATAAAATTTGTTGGAGGAGTTTGTTACTCTGTAAAACAGGTCACTTCCTGTTGCCAGAAGGTGGCACTATGACTGTATCTGGATATTGGCATGTAAACCTGTTCAGTTCAGGACTGTTATCATGTGAATTTTGAGGCAGATCGGACAATGTATGCCTAAGTTATAACAACTTCCTGTTTTGTGGTGAATCAAAGTTTGTGAGGCTACCACGGATACACCCTTTGACAAAAACTCCAGATTTTTAAAATTTACCACCGCCAAGGCCTTTAGATCACAATACCCGATTTTGGTGTTGATCTGATAAAATCCCTAGGCGGAATTTATTAAAATACAACACCTGGAAATGGTAAAACTGCACTTTTTCAGCACAGGAAGTTAAAAATATCTGACTTCCGGTTGGGTTTGAGATTTCGCTCCATTTAGATTTTTTTTATGTAGATATTGGCATGTTTGATGTGTGTGCCAATTTTCGTAAGTGTGCACGGATCATAGCTCGAGAGCGTCCGTCAAAAGAGCATAGGTGACACTGTCGAGTCATTTTACCACGCTTGCTTCCAAAACCTATAACTAACGTAAACTTCTGGTTTGTGCAATGTTTTGTGAGTTTTCGTGCATGTTTAGACACTCAAAAACACGATTCATTCTAGAGAAAAAGAAGAAGAAGACTCGGTCCCTAATAAAAGATGTTTGGTGTTAACCTTGTTTAACTTTTTTGCAATGTTTATTATAAAATAAAATCGGTGTCTCTTCATCTCATGTCATTAGATATCTGTGAAACTTTAAAGATTAACGCTGCATCCAAAACTTCCATACTATAAAGTATGCTAAAATCAGGTTGCAAGCCGAGTAGTATGTCCGAATTCATAGAATTTGAAAAACATATGCGAGAAGTACCCACCCGGATGACCTACTACTTCTGGCGAGATTATAAAGTGTGCATCCCATGCACGCTGCGCTATCCCATGATGGCCCGTGAGAGAATTCATGAATGGGAGCGACGAACTGAAGCAGTGGGTCATGTGACCATAACAAAATGTAGTACGTCCAAATTCTATTTATACCGCTCACATTCATACTGTATAGAACAGGGATTCCCAAACTTTTCAGCCCGCGACCCCCAAAATAACAATGCCAGTGACTCGCGACCCCCAATATCCTCTGAGGTGGTTATAAATACAGAAACCTTAAATGCAATGACGCAGACACACCAATTAAATTTGTGTCAGTGCTTTAAATGTGCCAGAAATTATAACCTGATGTTATAAAATCAAAATCCATCTGACGCCATTGCTGCCTTTAATATAATGTAATTACCCCAGGGGTCGCAATTCAATAGAACTAGTAACTATAAGCTACTATAGTAACTATAAAGTATATAGTAACTATAAACGACTATTTTTATTTTCAGTATAGTTATGGATAAAATATGTTAATTCTTATGGTTTAATAAAAATAAATAGATTTTTGGAAATCACTAGGCGACCCCCCTTCATTGCACCGCGACCCCTCAGGGGGTCCCGACCCCCACTTTGAGAACCATTGGTATAGAACATACTTTTCTAACGGCCGAGTAGTACATTTAAATTCAAATGCAGTACCTACTGAGTAGTAAGCAGTTTCGAACGCAGCCTAAGACTCTTGAATGAACAGTAAAATGGAGCATTTTTTTTATCTTTATGTGTATAATGCTCAATTGACATTTAATTTCTCTTCTTTAAATAGTTTCTTGCACAGTTATTCTGGTAGTTATAATAAAATTAACTGATTTAGATGATTTATCAGTTATTAATGTGAAGTTAAAAGTTATTTAGTTTTGCTTTTATATCCCAGAGCTCGAAATAGCGACCATTTTGGTCGCATATGCGCCCGAAATTTAAGCTATGCGACCTCATAATATATATTAGGAGCATTCGTGCGACTGAATATTTAGGTTGGAGTGCGACCTGTTTTTTTTTTTTTTTTTTCTAAAAACGTGCTGAATAGCTCTTCCCTGCCGCTATATTGGTTCATATTAGCTGTCAATCACTCAAGACTTTCCGCTGTCAGATGACAGGGAGGGAGCTTTTGGATGGCTCTGCAGCGAGCACCACTTGTGTTAGCTTTTGTGACCGCGGGGAATGCAAACTGCTGAAGAGTGAAAAGTACACTGAATCTCGATGCGTTGCATGCGCTGCGTGTTCAGCCAACACAATCTTACGGCAATTCGTAACTTTTTCATACGTTTCCTCGTGAGATCAGGCTGCAACAGCGCAAATGTCCGCTAAAACACCATCGCCAAAGAAGCTTGCCTTTACTGAGTTTACTGATGCGGTTTATAACAAGGAACAGTATTGCGACGGTGGTTATTGGGAGAATCCTGCTCTGCCCCCCTCATATTGGGCCGGCTAACTCGCATGCTTTTCCACAAACACAGAAAAAAGAAATTCAGCGCGTAATGAAGCTGAGCATTAAAACGACAAGAACCGAAACCAAAACTTTTAAAAGTGAGAATTTTTCTCCTTTCTTTTGTCCGTTCTTTCTTGAGGTGTATATTATTTTTCTATTTAATTATTGATGACTGCTTTGCACCTTTCAGCATCGAATTGAATGATTTATTATAATATTTTGTTTGTTTTGTAGCAGAAATAGGCTAGTATTTATTAAATTGACATGCATATAAAAACAGCAGTACAAAATAAATATTTCTTACTGCAATGCTTCATTTGTGTTTGATGCAAACCATCAATTTATTTTCCATAGAGTAACAGCAGAACTTTATATAGCAGATAACTTACATTAAAGCACATTCAAGGCAGCATGATGATGAGAAATGTTATTCATTGTTAGTATTATTGTCATCATCGTCATCATTAATATTTTATAATTATTCAAAATTAATTTTGGAAATATTGCACAAATATTAATCATCACAGCATTAGTTAGATAATTGTTTCTGGGTTTTGTTAGTCCCAAATGATGCTGTTTTCAAATACAATAAATCCCTTAATATACAACTTGTCAATATCATTAATTTTAGGTGGGTGCTCCTAAATTTTTTCTGGTGCTCCTAAATTTTTTCTGGTGCTCCTAAATGTTTCAGGTTGGGAGCACCAGTGCTACCAAGTAGGAAAGTTAATTTCGAGCCCTGTATCCCATTAAAATAAATGCATATGATAAGGATAAGTTTGGAGTATGAAAGTCAGCCAACTTACAGCTAGTCTAACTGCGTTTCAGACACTAGCAAACTTTAAACACACACACACACACACACACACACACACACACACACACACACACACACACACACACACACACACACACACACACACACCTTTTCTTCACACAGCAGTGTTAGACCTCGACTGTTATTCTGTAAGCTCTTGCATATGGAAAATGCTGTATGTCAAGACTGTCATCAACATCTCTTAAACACACAAATGATCTATTTATAGATCTACAGTATGTTAGTTCTCAAGCAGATCTCACAGTTCACCATATTAGGGAAGGCAGCATTAGAACAGTCTGCTTTAACATTATGACTGCAGTGAAGGGTATGAGATGAAGTAAAAAACATCCACCCTCTCACAGCCTCGTCGCTGGAGAAATGTCTGTTCAGGGAATCACACTGAGTCACTCCAGGGCTAATTCTGTTTGTGTGTGTGTGTGTGTGGTGTAAACATTGGTTGCACTCTTGCCAGGTCACTGAAATAGAGACACTTACTATCTTGTAAAGTGGCAGATGGGCTATATGGGATTTTTTTTTTTATCTTTGAGTAGAGAAAGATCACTCTTGAATCTTGATCTTTAACCACTCTCAAAAGCAGGAGGATGGCAAATGATGAAATGATACTGATATTA